AACAAAGTAACAAAAACACTGAAACCATATGGGGTGCATTACTTCCAGCATGGCCTCCTGGCTTGATTGTAAAATACTCCCTGCTGATCACATTCTCAGCATGGCCGCCTTCTGGCCTTTACTGAATCTTGTTCTCCCATCTTTTCTTTCTTTTTCTTTTTCCTTTTTTTTTTTCTTTTTTTGGAGAAGTGTTTGCTATAGGGCATGTATGCTTGCCAGAAAGACAGAAAGCGACAGAGAGATAGAAAGCGAGAAATCACCCCTCAGGGGGACTGGCCATGCTGCAATCCCTTCTCCTCCATTCTCCTCTTGGGATCTTGGGCACGCATGCACACGTGCCCGATGTGAGTTTAAGCTACCGGGTCCGGGACTCAAACCGTGGTTGAATACGTGGGAGTTCAGCGACATAGCCATTACGCTAACTGCTGGTCCCAAAATGCTGGTGTTCTTTAGGGACCTGTCCCAACCCTTCTTCTCTTGGCTTCTGTCATTTGCGTACACCCCCTAGATGACCTGATCTGTTCTGAGCATTTTACTTTCTGTATAAATGCTGATGACTCCAGTCCACGTATGTAGGTCTCGACTCTCTCCCAGGCTTCTCATACTTACATCCTCCTTAATTCACAGCCCCATGGTCAGTGCATTTCAATTCTGAATCTGCAAGGATAAAATAACTTTATTTGAACTCTTAGACATTAAAATTTGGGAGAAATAGATTTGGGTATAACTGAAGAAATACTCTTGGAATTTGAGGAAAAACAAGAGCTTTTTATAGGAAAAAAGCTCTAAATCACTACAAAGTAATTAAAATAGCTGAAAGAGAATTTCTGTGGAGTCTGTAATGACTAAGAGGACTGCAAAGGCTATGCGGCCAGTGGAAGATAAAAAAGAAAAACTGTTGGTAAAACAGGAATTCCATAATGCCTTGACATGTATCTTTTTTTTTTTTTAGAGGTTTTCGTTATAGGGCGCGTGCGCTTGCCAGACAGAGACAGAGAGACAGAAAGCGAAAAATCACCCCCAAGAGGGGATGGTCACGCCGCAATCCCTTCTCCTCCATTCTCCTCTCGGGATCTTGGGCACGCACGCACACGCGCCCGGTGTGAGTTTTAAGCCACCGGGTCCAGGACGCGATCCGCGGTTGACTATGTGGGAGCCCAGCGATATAGCCATTACGCTAACTCTTGGTTCCCTTGACATGTATCTTGAACTATCCTAGAAGCTGGCAACCAAAGGGTGAAGGTACTCAAAGTTGACATTCCAGGGCTGGCCCTGCAGCCCAGTGGTTAAGGGAGCCAGATCCCACATAGCTGACTGCAGTTCAAATCCTGGCCCTAAGGCATGAAACATATGCAGGGTATATGTGCCAAAATCCTGACAGGATGGAGAAAAGGAGGAGAAGGAACTGTGGTGTGACCACACCCCATAAGGGGTGCTTTCTACCTCTTTCTCTCACTCTGTGTGCATGCACACGTGTGTGTGTGTGTGTGTGTGTGTGTGTGTGTGTGTGTGTTTCTCTCTGGCAAGTGCATATATGCTCTGGTGCATGGATATAGAGGGGAATGTGGGGT